ATACTTGCAGTTTTACAATGATTTTATTACTTGTTTTTGATACTCCATTTTCTGCAAATGCCTGAAAATGTATGATAATTAAATGATCTATTTTCATATGGTTTCGCAGCAAATGGTGCTGATAATGCTAACAATGGATGGAAGAGAAGACTTAATTTTTTGTTAGATTTCAATCTTTATAATACATCAAAAGTCAACAGTAAATCAGCTTTTTCCCTAAGCTTAATTTTAGACTTTACCGACCCCTATGACTTTCATAGCATTTAAAAAGGTGTAGCCTAATATTGTAATATTTATGCTTTTTGTTAACAGCTGATTATCAATGATACTTAACTAAAGTTTGATTAGCATCTTCTGCTAGATGGTAAAGTTTAATAGATTTTTAATATGCTAAGGAGTAGTTAGCCACTTACCTTTTTACCATAAGTGAAATATTATGATATTATCATTTATTGAACTATTATACACCCTAGATAAGTCGGTTTTATCGCAGTTTTCATGGCGCATCCTTGTCACCTAACAACTAGGAATATAAACTGTTGTTACATAATACATTAAGAGTACAAATAAAATCTTACTTTATTTGCTTATTTCGATGTCTTTATCATATTTTTGTTTATTTCTACTATTGTGTTTGTAGACCATGGAAGATTCATCTGGCTCCTCCTCACGAAGAATATCTAATGACTCAACAGCCTACATCGACGTGGAGGCTATGGATGATGATCCATCCATATATATTCCCGTCAAGCGAAACGCATTGTTAATTCTCACTTTCGGAATATTAATTTTAATATCTGCCTGTGTAGGCATTTCAGTGGAAGCCTTCTCTCGCATCCGTCTTTCATTCTCCGGAATCTGGGTTGGGGCTGTTGATATGCTGGCCAGTCTCTTTTGTATTATACTCTCACTAAGACTTAATTACCTATTTGCATTTACCTGTTTCCTTACATGTCTAGTAGCACTCTTCATCACTATAATCGGCATCTGTTTTTCCATTTATGAAATTGTATACTTCGGCTATTCTGCAAGCATTATCGTCCTTGTATGTTGTATCTGCCAGATCTCCAGTCTGATAGCAGAAGTAATATGCTCACGACAACTTCTTATTATATTTGCAGCCTTTCCAATAGAGATGAAAATGTTTCAGAAATCATTCGGAGCCTTCAAAGATGAGCAGCCTGAATTCAATTTGGATTGGTTTTCCTGACGTTTAATTTAATTTATCGAATAACAACAAAGGTTTCTCTAACCAAACTCCAAAAATCAAAAGAATAATCTCCAGCATACACCAACAAACTCAATAGGCACGCTCATTCAAAAATGATGACTCCAGCTATTAAATTATGATACCACTGTTAATTTGAATTTTTCTTGTCAAAGTTAATATTATAAATAGGAATGAAGGAATGCAGGTCTATTTAGATGCGGTGAATACATATTATAAAAGGTATTGAACATATCTATCCGTAAGGCCTCAAATAAATTACCAGAAAACTGTCAGAGTTAAGAATACTTGAGTGTAACTATACTCGATAAATGGAATATGGGTATATGGATAAATTAAGAAACGGAGTCTACACGAGTTAGCATGTTTTTTTAATATCTAATTTTCGAATGGCCTGGGTTAAATATTGCATATTTCGTTATTTACCAACAAAGTTATATTCATCGATAGTCCCTAAATCTTATGTAAATTAAATTTCTGTAATAGGCGAATAGAATACAGAGCAAGAGTATGCATTTTCTCACTCTCGTCAGTCCTCATATAGCTCGCTGAGATAACTTTGTAAAACTTTAAAAAGTGGTAAGGGAGTATAATCAAAATCGCATTACCATATGATCTTTAACTATTCGCTAAGATTTGAAATTTTTTATTTATAAAAAGAATTAAAGAATTTTGTGGGATCTTCAATTAGCATTCGTCAAAATTCATTATCGATAGTTTATGGCAGGTTGAACTCAGAAGTAGAAATGAAGGACTGTTAGAAGACATTTCAGATCCGGATTTGGTTTTATCGACCACGCATCGCGCGTCTACTTCTGTTGATCCAACATAAAATGCGCGTTGTTTAGCTATACTGAAAGATCTCCCTTATTTTTAGTTTCATAAGTAGGTATTCGAGACTACAAGTAGACCTGATATAAGAGCTGTATACAGCCTATTACGGTTAACATAAAGCAGGACTGGTAGTTGAATTTGCAACTACCCATACCTCATCCCCTTAAACGAAATAGAGTGAATCAAGGTCTTATATCTCTTATTTACCGGTAGATACAACAGGATTTGGTAGTTAATTTATTCCTTGATCCAAGTACTACAGCTAATAAACATGGGGAAATGCTGGGGCCTTCGTAACCAGTAGATATATATGTTCCTAGGTCAAAAAAGTAACTATAATGAGCCGCTAAATATAAACAGATTATATAATGATAAAAATTTTAGCTGTCTTTAAGAAGCGCTGAATGAACATACCAACACACTTGCATGAGAACAACTTTTGGGAAAACAAGGCTATGTAAAATTCAGTGTAAACGTCATATATACTCATATCATTGTTAGAAAATTCTACTACCAATCCTTCATTACCATAAACGAGATAGGTTGAATATATTTCGTATACTTGCATGTATCCTTAAATTTTGAGCATAACTAAGAATTGTAAAAATAAGGGCCCTAGCGAGGCACATCCTATTCTTGCTTATTAGCATCGTTCACGATAATAATAGGCTACTTAAATAAGCTTTTTAAAGACCTCCTTGTAATTATATCGTAGATATGAATACCACGCCTTTTGTTTAGACGCAATCTCCTTTAGCCGTATAATGTTGGTTTGAACTTGTTTGCTCAACATGGTCGGAGCGTCAGTTAGACCTTGTGGAACGTACATAGTCCCGTGTCTTCTGCCATAGTGTTCGTTGTTTCCAGCATTGGACCATTGGCTAGGCGTCAGTAAGAGGCACCATCCTGAGTACAGAGTTACAACTTATCAAAGTGACAAGTTAAGGCAATCCCGTTGACCACTTTTCTGTTCAACCGCTGTTGCACCACTCCTCGCCCCTATTTTTTTATAAATTCTAGTAGCATATCTCTTTCTCTCAACCTCACTTCATATGGCCCATCCATTTATTCA